AGAAAAGTTAATGGACTATAAGGCAACCTCAAAGAAAATTAACACTTCACAACATACCAAGAGAATGAAAATCCAAGAACATGGAAACATTAAAACTATGAGGAAACTCCCAAGAAAGAACACAAAAAGCATGAACTTAAAAAGGAAGATACACAGAACAAAGAAAGCAATACCACAAAAAAACAAACATAATGGCAGCAAGTAATCCATACCTATAGAAAATTATACTGAATGTAAACGGATTAAATGCACCTGTTAAGAGACAGAGAGTGGCAGAATGGATACAAAACCAAGATCCTTCAATATGCTGTCTACAAGAGACACATCTCACACACTGATATAGAAACAGATTAAAAGTCAAAAGAATGGAAAAAATATATACCAAGCTAATTGCAATCAAAAACGAACAGAAGTGGCAGTACTCAACTCTGATAAAACAAACTTTAAGGCAAAACCCAGCATAATAGATAAAGATGGACATTATCTCATGATTAAAGGGACAATTGAACAAGATGACATAACCACAATAAATATCTATGCTCTAAGAAAGCCAATATCCCTCATGAACACAGATGCAAAAATTCTCAACAAAATCCTAGCCAATAGAATTCCACCAACACATCAAAAAGATAATACATCATGATCAAGTAGGATTCATATCAGGGATGGAAGGATGGTTCAACATTAGAAAAACGAGCAGCTTTATCTGCCATATAAATAAGAAAAAAGAAAAGAACCACATGATCTTATCGATTGATGCAGAAAAGGCATTTGACAAAATCCAACATCCATTCCTGATAAAAATATTCAACTAAATAAGAATTGAGGGGAAATTCCTCCGCATAATTAAGAGCATATATACAAAATCAACAGCCTACAGTACTCTCAAAGGAGAGAAACTGAAAGCCTTCCATCTGCAAACAGGTACCAGACAAGGATGCCCTTTGTCACCACTCCTATTCAATATTGTGCTGGAAGTTTTAGCAACAGCTATACGGCAAGACAGGCAAATTAAAGGCATCCAAACTGTCAAAGAGGAAGTAAAACTCTATTTGCAGACAATATGATCCTATATGTAGAAATCCCCAAAGACTCAGTAAATAAGCTACTAGATCTCTTTGGAAGA